AAGAGAAACGTACCCTGACCAACTACTTGCTTACCTGAAGTACAGTTCATACAGGAAAAGTAGGATCGATGCTTCAGTTATTCCCCCTTTACTTAACTAGTTTATAAAAAAAAAAGTTTGTCTCCAAGCATTTTCCAAAGGTGACCTGTGAGAGATTGTTTTTTGGGTTGATTTCATCACTGAGTTCTGTGTTGGGTTGTGTCGTGCTCCCAAAACTTCATGTCCCCCTAAAACCTCAGAATGGGACTTTGTTGGGAAATAGTCTTTGTAGAAGTGATGAGTTAAGATGAGGTTGTGCTGGAGTAGGGTGGGCCCGAAATCCAATGACTGGTGGGCGTCCTTATGGAGAAGGGCGCACAGGTGCACACACGAGAAGGTGGCTGTGCAAAGACAGAGGCAGAGATGAGAGCGGTGCAGCTGCAAGCCAGGAGATGCCAAGGAGTGCTGGGCACCGCTAGGCATTGGAAAAGGCAGGGTAGGGGTCCTCCCCGAGCCTGCAGAGTGAACATGGCCCGGACAGCAGCTGGGTTTGGACTCATAGCCTCCAGAACTGTAAGACAATAAGTTTCTGTTGTTTTAAGCTGTTTTGTGTTACTTTTTTATGGCAGCCCTAGGAAACTAATACAAGTACCATAATGAGCTCAGGGTTTTGCTCGTATTATAGGTATGTTTTAGTTATTTTTGGTGTAGGTGCTCAAATTCTCATTTTTGGCCAGTGGAACCTTTTTACGTTGGCTCCTGAGTCTTTTTGACACCGTCTATCAAACTTTCTTACAAATTCCAGGCTCATCTTGTGCACCATCTGCCCCAGAATGGCTGTCTGCCTTTTAGTGGCAATTGGTATTTGGAGACACCAGGCTGGGCACTAGGTGTGTTCATTGCTACAAGTTATTCCTAGGCCTTCTCAGGGAGTACAGCTAGGAAACACACACACACACACACACACACACACACACCCATATTTTTAAAATAAATACATACCATACCATATCTCCAGTCCAAATTCAGGATTCCAGCATTTTTATTTAACCTCATCAAGCTGATCTGGCAACTCTTTTTTCCCCATTCCAAAACTCCTTGTTTTCAGTAACACAACATAATTACTCGATACAGTACACAACAACGGTTTCAAAATGGTACCAATGCCACCACCAACAATATGAGCACTGAAAACACTTAAAGAGTTTATTGCAGTTTTCGATTTTTTTTTTTTTCTTTTTTGTACAAAGTACAGTTGTAATGATTCTTGGAACAGTTCTTCTCTGGGTGTTAGGTCGCTCACTAGATATATAGGTTCATTGGTTTCATTTTGCTTTTGGGTTTTAGGGCTTAACATTTTTTAAAATTTTGTTTGATGATTGCGTAGAATATTTACGTGGTTCTATCTTCTACAAAATGAAGTATATTCAGAGAAGCATCGCTTTTATATCTGTATCCTTGACCCTATTCCGTCCCTCTTACCAAAGGTAACCACTCTAAAACAAGTTTATGGTTTATCCTTTTAAGAAATCAACAAATATGTATGTATATCTGTATATAGTGTATATAGTGGCATGCTATGCATACTTTTGTCCCTTACTTTTGTCGTTTAAGAACTCCATACTAGTACTTTGTCAATGATGGCTCATGTCAAACTTGATCTGTTGAAATAATGTCAAGTGCCTGGAAAGAGCCCTTCAGTGGGAGGCTGGAAGCTTGCATTTTCTCGAAATGGTAACTGAGCTCTTGTGTTTATACCCCACTCTTTCAGGTCTCTACGAGAATGAGCAAAGGAATATCAATTATTTCCAACCAGCATTTGGAATCATTTGTATCCCTCCTCTCTTGCAACAGCATAATCGAGTTGTCTCACCTTTTGGGTTACTTCTGATCCATAGTTAAACATTAATTATAATGACAATGGATCCACTGAACTTGCATTGTGAGGACTCAAGGGCTCTGAATAGGAAAATAGCGCCCACTTTCTGGGCGCCCTCTATCTGCCTAGGATTGCGCTGGATGCTGTGCATGCCTGTTCTCACTTAGTTCTCAGTGTTGCCTTCCCTAGGGAATGGGAGTCTTTTATCCTCATTTTACAGAACTGGGTCCAGGAGTATTAAGAAATTGTTGAAGTTGGACCCTGGCTTCCTTGTGCTTTTCTCACCAAGTTAAGCTAAAAAGAAAAAAGACTCTACTATTGTTTATTGCTTCTCTGATGGCAGGAGGGAAGATTGTAGGCAAATCACCTGGACCTGTTGATCAGTTGTTGATAAAACTTTCCTATTTGCCTTGGCTTCTTTTCTCCTCCCAGCTCTCATAACCCTTTGTGCCATTAGAAAATACCTTGTACACTGACTTACAATTATTCTGTTAGTTTCCCAAATTATAGTTAGCTGAATGTCTTTCCAGAGATGCCAGAGACTTGAGTCTGAGTTAAATGTTAAGTCAGGAGGCTAGACTAATGCACCAGCCTGCTTTATAGCTTGGAACTAGTTAACCTTGATAGATACATATTAAACCTCAAATCTTGTCAGCTTTCATTTGTGTTCTCTTTGACCTCTCATTATGTCTGATTACAAGAGGCTTTTTACCTTGCTCAGGTTAATTTTGTGGTAATTCCATTTGCCACTGTTTATGGCACGCGTGTTAAAAATGCCTCATTGCCTCAATGGCATTTACAGACGAAGAAATGAGTAACCAGGGAGGAGAGCTATATAAATCTCACATTGCCACAGCCCATCTGGTCTTTTGGCATAATTCTAATAAAAAGTGAAAATCTTTACAGGCCCAAGAATAAATTTAGCTAATGTCCAAACTTGTTTATACATTGTTAGATTGATTTTGTGTCTTCTGGCAAATTTTCCATTGAAGACTCTAGCCTTTAAAATGTTTCAATTATTTTCCTAAACACGGTATTTTACCTTTTGGAAAGAATAGCTTGAAAAACAATGAAAATTCAGCACCATGTGTTCTGCAGTCTTCAAAGATAGCATCCACTGCACTGAAAGGAAAAATAGCTTACAAAAAAAGGGAAGTGAGCTTTTGAATGTCAACAATAAATGAGGCAAAATATGCTGCAAAAGTCAGGCAAACTAAAGGTTTGTGCAAATACTTTGAAAAATATTATTTTAATAATAAAGCTAGCCAAAAGCTAAAAACCCTCAAATATTTACACTTTTAGAATACAATGGATAGTAAATATAGGATGACGAAGCATCAAAGAATAGAATTCTTTTTATATAGTAGACATTTAAAGAAAAACAATAATGCTAAATAATAGTCATGACAATGCTAGATATGTTCTTGTGATTTATAATCTTTAAATTATAGATGCATAAAATGAAAAAGAATTTTTAATGATTTAATCATTTAGGGCTATAGAATTTTTAAATGACTTAAAAATGATTATTATTGCAAATCCATTGGGGCCAAAGGATTTTACATTTAAATCCGTTTTCACACAGTTTTCTACTTTTGTTTTCTTAAAGGACTTAAGACTTGTTTTTCATTTCATCAGTGAAACCCTTTTGTCCCAAGTTCTCAGACTTCCTCATCGGTGGGCAGAAGTAATGACATGAAATACTTTTTCTGAAACTAGGAGGAAGGTATCTACCTTCTTCCCACGCAAATCTCTTTAATAGACACATACATGCTAAAGTAGGAATTTAAAAACTCACTGTTGAAAGAAAAAGAAAAAAGAGGAAAAAAAGCACTTCACTATAACCCCTCCCCCCCAAAAAAAACCCCACAAAACCCCAGACCACCGGTAGTTTTGGAAATTTCAATATTTTTACTTTTTACATCAGGGGCTTTAATACCATAGTTATTTAAACTTTATATAAGTGGATAGTGAACAAGAATGGCTGGAGACCACAAGCAATCCACATGGGGACAATGCTCTGTCCATTGGCCCTGAAAAGCCTCCCTTTGTTTGCTTTCTGTAATTGGTCAAGGGCATTAAGAGCTTTCACAGAGTTGTGCGACTCAATACCAATTCGGTCTTCATCTCTTCCCTTTGCTTTTCTTGTTTTTCTTTTGGATAAGAAGTAGGATTTATTGGTGTGTGTAAGGAGCAGGCAACGCCAAGCCTCTCACCAGTGCAGGGCCCGCCATTCGTCCAGGGGGCCGCGATTAGGATGTATTTGACCCCACAGCCATCTGGGATGAGCCACTTTTCAGCCACCCTTGTCTTCAAACTCATACGCATTAACTTGGTAAAGCCTCATTTCTTGGAAATGTGGATGTTTTGGGGGCCAGGGAACTTGATCTTGACCCTTCTTAGAGCCTCAATCACATGCTCCTGGTTCTGCAGTTTTGTGCGGGTGGACATGATTATTTGGCCAATGCAGACCTTGGCCACTGTGCCCTGGGGCTTCCCAGAGGCACCCCACATGCCTGCCCCGAGTCTGTCAGCCCCAGCACAAGACATGTTGATGCAGATGACATGGAAGAGGTGGAGCCGCAGTCGGGAGTGAAAGCCATCGTTGCCACGGCTTTTCACTATGTCCTTGTTGGCATAAATACGGGCAGCCCCAGGACTTGGGAAGAGAGCAGGTTTTATTTACCCGACACCGTGTGGCCACAGAGTGGGAACTCATCAGCTTTCCTCTTCTTCCGCCCCAGGTCAACGACTGGGATTTTGGCATCAGGGAGACCTCGGCAAAAGCAGGACTTCGGGTACGGCTTGTTCTTACAATACCGGTAACATCGGGCGCGACGGCGGCCCATGGTGACACCAGGATCTTCAGTGGCACGCCGAAGGGAGAGCTTGTTTTTATTTCCTTGCTTACCGTTAGGGGGCGGCCGGAGACAGCCGGTCTCACCTGCGGGAAGGTGACCAAGATGGGGC